CAGAAAGAAGAGATCCCACCATAAAGCCTTGCTCAGCTATAGGAGTGAATGGTCTAGGGTGTGGTCAGGCCTGGAGCCCCTGAAGGAGTCAGTAGGTGGGCAGAGCCCGAGCCCTGGGGGAGGGAAAGAGGGGAACTGGTACTGGTCACCAGGTAGCGCTGGAGGCAGGAATCAGCCTTAGGGCAACAGGGTCCCCTCCAATCCTGGGCTTGAGATCCAGGTGAACTTGGCTATAAGCTCAGGGGGTCCTGGCCAGGCCACTGCTGCTGAAGGCAGAAGGGTCCAGAGCCTGGGGTTGGACTGAGCCTACATGGGAGTCAGGGGGCTTAGCTTTGGGGCACAGGCATCTTTGAGGACACAGAGTCAGGCAGTCAGCAAAGAAAGGCACAAGAAAAATGCCCAGTCCAAGGAAGATGTTTTATTGCTGGGCCCCCTGTGCATGTGGGACCCGCACTGACAGTCATCATCACCTTCCTGAGGATAAGCAGACAGAGGCAGGGATGCCCCGGCTTCCCTGGCCACTTGCTGCAGAGGCCAGCTGTGCTCTGAGGCCCAGTGCCCTGCTTCCATTCCTGGCTCCTTAATGGGACTCTGCAGCTTGCAGAGGAGGAGCTTGTTTGGGGTTGGTGACTTTGCCTATAAATAAGATTTGTTCTGGGTCTTTGTCAGTAATGACCATCAGAAAGGGCCTATTGAAGTTTACAATAATTGGGTTTGGTTTTACATTTAAAAAGACAATTTTCCCTCCTGGGCTAACAGCTGCTTCTGTGCCCTTCTCAGCCACATCCAGCATGGCCTTGTGGACTACCTGTGGGGACAGAACAGCCTTACTCAGACAGGAGTCTGCAGGAGGTAAGCAGCCTGCCTGCATGCCCCTAAGGGGACTGACATTTACCGGGCACCCACCACTAGCTTGTCCCCTTGCTATTAAATTAGTTTGCTCCTCCAGAAGATCCTGTCAGCTGGTTTCGCATGGTTGTTCGCATGGCAGATGTGCAAATGGAGACTCAGATGCTGTGTGTGATCTGTCCAGAGCCACAGAGGTAAGGAGTTGGGGGGCTGAGCTGGATCCCTCTCTGTCTGAGTACAGAGTCTTAGTTGCCTCCAAAATAGCCACTCCTGTAGGGAGGTCGGACATTTTTCTGGCAAATAACTTTCCAGCAGCCTCTAGACCACAAAGCAGCTGCTGCAGACACCTCCTTAGCTGGGCCAGCACTCTTGCTTCAGTTTACGCATCCCTGGGGCTCTTAATTACTTTGCATGGCTGTCCATTCCCAGACCATCTGGGTCCACTCCTCTGTACACACCTCCCCATCACCTTGCTCTTGGGAAGGTGGGGTGCAGACCTGAGCTCAGAGCTCTGTGTACAGAGGACAGGGTGGGGCTGCCCAGCTGACCCCTTTCACTCTGACTACTCTCCTTCTAGTGTGCCGTCCAAGGGGCCCAAGTAATCTTTTACACTCTGAGTACTTTTTCATCACAATTGCCATATAACCATTGCTGTTACCTATTACCATTACCTGCCCTGCCAGGCACCATCCTAGCCAAGGACTATCACCCCCATTTGTCAGATAAAAAACTAGGGTGGAGGATTTCAGTTGTTTGTCCTCAGACACTGCACAGGAGAGCACGAGATGGTGTACACTGCTATCTGCTTCCGAGCCTGAGCTCTGCCCCAAGACATGCTCCCAGGTCATGGTATGTGGCAGGGGAGGTAGAGACCAGCCCCTAATACTGCAGAAGAAGGTGCTGGGCTGTACCCCTTCTCCCTGGGCTTGGGGGAATCCCAAGGAGGAGTGGATGATGAGAACTGCAGATATTTATACAAATTCAAGATTATCCACACATCCATCTGGACTTTTCCATTCAAACTCAGATACAGAGAAGAAATGTCTTGAAGTCTAGAGACTCACCTCGGAGAGCACCAGGTTCTTGGCACCTGTGATCCCTGACAAGTCAGCCTCTCTGGTGAAGACTTTCTTAATGCCCAGATCGACAAGTACTTTTTTCAGATTATAGTCACCCGAGATGGAAAACTTTGGTAGATAGACCGCATCTATAATTCTAGGAAATGAAAAAAAAGAATATTTTAATCCCTACTGACTCAGTGCCTGCTTTCTCCCACCTTGGTATATGGTTTTCCCTGGAAATAAATAATGCTTTCCTCAATTTTTAACCTCCCTTGCATTTACTCTTTGATAGATAGATAGATAGATAGATAGATAGATAGATTCATAAATTATCTGTTTACATCTGCAAGTGTTAAAGGTGCCAGGCAGCATGCCAGGCCTGGGTTGCACCAGTGCCTGAACCCAGCCCCTCTCCCGCTGCCTCCACCCCCACCCAGCAGGCAGCACCCTCGCACCAACGGGGCCTGTGGAGCGTGGGGAGAGACAGGACTGGGGCAGCCACAGCAGCCTGCTCCATAGGCACCAGGGGGGGCTTCCTACAGGAGGTGGTGTTGAGGCTGAGACCCAAAGGAGAGGAAGCAGGGTGCGGGGAGGCAGGAGACAGGCAGAAAAACTTACAGCGGGGGGGGGGGGGACAAAAGGAGTTGCCCGTGGAGTGGAGGGCAGCCTTGGTGATGAGGGGTGAGGCTGGGCAGGGGCCAAAGGCAGGTCATGAGTTCCTGGCAGCTGCTGAGGAGTCTGATTGTATTGGAAGGCTTTTGGGATCCTGAAAAGATTGACTGGAGGTTCCCATCTTGCCTCCTTGTGAGGACCACTGGGGCTCTGTCCTCTATCTGGTGCAGGCTGGGCACACAGCAGGCGGAGCTCCCTTGGGGAAGGAGGAGAAAACTTCCCCCGTGAGCTCCCTCTGCTTTCCTTTATATCTGCCTTGCCTTAAGACTCTTATCACCAGCAGTGCCTGTAGCTCAGTGGGTAGGACGTTGACCATGTAAACCGAGGCTGGTGGGTTTGAACCCAGCCCAGACCAGCTAAACAACAATGACAACTACAAAAAAAAAAAAAAATACCCGGGCGTTGTGGCGGGGATCTGTAGTCCCAGCTACTTGGGAGGCTTAAGCAAGAGAATCACTTAAGCCCAAGAGTTTGAGGTTGGTGTGAGCTGTGATGCCACAGCACTCTACCAAGGGTGACATGGTGAGACTCTGTCTCAAAAAAAAGAAAAAAAAGACTCTTATCACAATCTTTCTGCTCTTACAGCTGTATGGGGAGGTTGTGTGAAACTTTGAATCCCAGGGGAAGAGGGAAGGCACCTACCTCCTCGTCATATTCATTCATTCAACTGACCAAACACCACTGGGAGCCATAAATAGACACTTATTCCTCAGTGTTTGGTAAGTCAAAGGTGTCTGATGAATATTCTTTTCTTTTTTTTTCGTTTTGAGACAGAGTCTCACTATATCCCCTCGGTAGAGTGTTGTGGCGTCATAGCTCACAGCAACCTCAAACTCTTGGGTTTAAGCAATTCTCTTGCCTCAGCCTCCCAAGTGGGTGGGACTACAGGCGCCCACCACAACGCCCAGCTATTTTTTTGTTATAATTTTCATTGTTTAGCAGGCCCGGGCCGAGTTTGAACCCGCCAGCCCTGGTGTATGCGGCTGGCACTCTAACCACACTGAGCTATGGGCACTGAGCCTGCATATTCTTTTCATTCAAAACTGTTCATTAAGCCCCTCCTCTGGAATGGAGGCTTAAAAGCTGTTTGGTGTTGAGGGAAGGAGAGTCTGGAAATTGATGGGCCACAAGGACCCTATGTCTTAGGTCTCCCAGGATCTGGAGTAAGGAGGCCAATGTCCCAGCAGCTCCCTCACCCTTTGTGATTTATCTAGTGCCTTCCAAATCCAATACCCCACTGGATTCTCAGGTCTCAGTAAGGAAGGACAAGGGCAGAGCAAGGACACTCTTCCCCATCCAGCAGGTAGCTGAGCTCCACAGAACAGGCCATACTGGCTGCCAGAGTCTGAGGCTGGATCTCCTCTCTCCCCACCCTGGCACAACTGCTCATGAAAGGTCCCTGTGCCCACTGCAGGACCTGGGCCAAAAGTACTGCTGTGCTTTGCATGTCCCCCTGATATTGGCCAGCTCAACTCCACATGTCCCACGGTGTCTCCACTCTCAGATTCACCCATAACTCAGCCACTCCTTATGCTCCACAGAACCTGCCCAGACCCCACCTGGGTTTCCGTGTGGGGATCCTGGAGGGTCTCCCTGACTCCACATTTGCCCCTCAGTCTGCTCTCCACACAGCAGCCTGAGCCATCCTTTAAAAACTACAGCAAGGTCATATCATCTTGGAAACCTTCTAATGGCTGTCCACTTTACTGAGAAGGAAGGTTGAGGTTTTCCAGGCATCTGAATGGCCTCACATAACCTGCTCCATCCCCAGGGGCGGTAAGCACTAACTCTCCCCTCACTCACTCTGCTCCAGGCACTCTGGCTTTGCTCTTCCTTGATCATGCCAGCATCACCTTGCCTCAGAGGCTTTGCACTGGCGGTTCTCTTAGTCAGGAATGCTTTTCCCCAGTATGTCCGTGTGACTTAACCCTCCACCTCTGTCATGTCAATGCTGAAGCATCACCTAATGGTCATTCTACTTAAACTCATGCACTACCTCCAGTTCCAGTCTTCCTGATCCTTTCACCTTCCTCTGCTATTCCACCCCCCCAATTTCTTACTTTCTAACATTTACATATTATATTTTTACTTGTTGTCCCTCTCTCCAAATTATAAATTAAACTTCATGAAGGCAGGGAATTTTGTGTTTTGTTCGTGGATCTATCCTCAGGGTCTAAATTAGTGTCTGGCACATAGTGGGTGCTCAATCAGTCACTCAAAAAATGCTGAAGGACTGGAATGGTTAGCCAGTGCAGAGCTGATTCTCAGAACCAGTCCTGCCTTAGCCCTCAAATGATCATAATTCCCTCTCTTAACCTCTGCCTTGAGAGACCGAGAGCAGGAGAAACCGTGCATGCGTACTGATTATTGTGTGGGAGATGTCTCATGATGAACATGTTAGAGTCAGAGGAAGCCTGGGCCCCTTGTTCTATCTGATGTCATCATCTTAAAGAAGAAAATAAAAAAGAGGCCCCAAACCAAACAGGCAGCAAAGAGCAAAGTAAGTCCCCAATCCACCTGTCCCCACCACTGTGCCCTTTTCCTTGGACATGCGTGATACCCCTAGTTGGAAGGACAGAGAGTCTCAGGGAGCTGGGAAGGAAGGTAGGCCTACCAACAGCTCTGGGTCCTAAGGATAATCACCTGGTTTTTAGTGAGGCTCTCCACCTCCTCAGGGTCTCTGGGAGCAATTTGGCTTCTATGTCCTTCATCTTGCCCTCATCAGGGAGGATGAAGAGTGCGCTGGCATTGCCCGAATACATCAGTTCTACTACCGTGCAGGACAGTGCCTCGTCCCGAAAGTAAGGCGTGGCCAGGTCTATACTTCTCATGATGGGTACACGTATCCACTTGTTGTTGCTCAAGTAGAATCTTGATGTAAAAGTTTCACGGGGGTCAAAGGGTGTCTTCCACTTGGCTAGAGAAAGAACAAGAGTGAGAGAACAGTGCGAGTGCAAGGGTGACCCTACCTCAACCTGGTTCTGCCTATCATCCCAGCAGGGACAGCCCTGCCTTGGTTTGGATAATACCTTGGTAAACAGAAAAGCCACTGGGGATGAGGGAAAGCCCTGCCGGCCTGGATTGGAAAGGGGGCCATGAAACCAAGGCCTGGTAAGTTGCGCTAAGTGAAGAATCAACAGGACTCTGGGGATGGGGCATGCAAGAGTGAGAGAAGGGAGGGAAAGTGGGGGAAAGAGCCAGGACAACAACTGGGAAGCTGGAGCCTGGGGAGGAATGGGACATCACTGGCTCCTCGAAAACAACAAATGCCTCCTAAGCAATTGTTAGTCACTGGCATTGCAGAGGTGTGACCATAAATGGCTCGTGCGAGGGTTTTGGGTGGAAATAGGAGGAAAGAGACTGGGTTCTTCATGTGAGTTGTGAGGCAGAAGTGAATGTCCACTATTGTGAACCATCAGAAGGGCAGGGGTGTCCTTAATGGAAGGCACAACTCGGAGAGACCAGGAGATTCAAAGCCCCTGGCTCTTGTGACATCTAGGCCATGGGAGCATCACACATGCCAAACGCCATGGGCTAAGAAGGGCTGGCTATGAGTCCTCAGCTCCCATCTGGGTCACATCCAGCTCTGCGAGCTGTGAACATCCATCTAGACTTGCCCTGGATTCTGTGTTTGCCTGGCCAATGATTCAATCCCTGGCACTCTGACTCTGGAGCCTGCCTAAGCTTTTCACTTTAAAAAGGTAAAATTCCATGAAACTGCCTCTAGCTGCTATAAACATTAAACACAGGCCTGAGCTGGGAGTGGTTTCAAAGGAAATCTGCTCCCTTCTGTTTGCTGGGCAAGTTTTAATCCGAATAAAAAGCAAGACACCTGCTCAGACCAAGGCTAACAGGCTCCTCTGAAGTCGCATCTTGGAATGACAGACTGTAATTTGGAAGAAGAGGATGCCTGTTGGCAGGATGAAGTTTTGGTGCCCTTCCCCACATCAAGCCACGGTCCCTTCCTTTAGAGTGGGTTACCTAACAACACTGACCCAGGGCAGAAATAGCCCCAAGACTTGGAACTAAACCTCCATTTCCTTCTGCTCCTCAAGTCCAACACTCACCTTTAAAGAAGATGTAATTCACCAGCATCATCTCTGTTGGTGAGTTAATGTCTTTGACCAGATCTACAATTTTCCCTCGAGTTTTCTTCTCCACGTAGTCATTGATGAACTTCTTGGCAGCAGCAAAGTCCTGGAAGTTGGTCTCTAAGGCCTGGGAGGTGTACAGCTCCTTGGCGTCCTCCCTGAACTTCTCAAGCAGTTTCAGCTGCTCTTTGATGAACATGGCATTGCCCACGTTCAGCTGCAGCTGTTCACTGGGCCGGATAAGGGTGTGCAGGAGGTGCTGAAAGCTCTGGTGGATTTCTGCCTCTGAGGTCTCTGTGAGGTTGAACTTGAGGCCTTGGAAAAGCTCTGTCAGGGTGGTGCTGCGGGCCCCCAGGGATAGGAAGGCCAAGGCTGAGGAGACACCCAGTGGGGAGAAGATGATATTCTTATCAGGGTTTTTCAAAGCCAACTGCTTGTAAAGGATGAAGGCAAAGTTCATGCTGCTGGAGGCGGATGTGAGCTTGTCCACATGCATCCCATTTTCTTGGTCCTCCTGGGTCAGAGCCTCCTGGCCAAGTGCGCTGCTGGGGTGCCAGAGGAGAGCAGGGCAGAAGCCGGCCACCAAGACTCCTAGAGTCAGGAGGGGTAACATTCTCTCCACTCTCAGCTCTGAAAAGCCACAATCCTTTAAGTCACAGAGGGCCATATGGGGCACCATCCACCCCCCACTGCCTCCCACCTGGCCTGTATTCAGACCCTTGTTCTGCTAGCTGTGCGAGCTCCCCTGGCCAGGTGCTGTCCTGGGCACCCAACATGTGTGATTACGTTCAGGGCTTCCTTTCATCCTTTGAGGTGAGTACTCTAATTGTTGCCATTTTTCCCAGGGAGGAAACTGGGCACAGAGAGGTGAAAGGGCTTGGCCAAGGTCACACGGCAAACAAGTGGAGGAGCCGGGGTGGGCAGCCGGGTTTGCCTGGCTCCTGGGACTGGAAGCTGACAATGAGGATGAGGTTCTGTTGAATCAGAACGCCACCTCCTCTGGCCTTTCCACGTGGCGACCAGAGCCCAGTCAGGGGGATTGGAAAACAGGGGTTCCTCTTGCCTTGTATCTCTTACGCACCTGAAGTAGAACCAGGAAAGGAGCCCCGGTCCAATGAGAGGCCACAGCACCTCTCCCAGCCACCAAATGATACTTTGTGTGACAGTGGCAGGCCCTCTACTGTGTCATGCCTAGTCGTACGCAGAGTGGGTTAACTGAGAGAGGCACCTGGTGCAATGCCTTGAGCCTGGACAGACCTGGAAATGGATGGCTTTGTCTCCACCATAAGCCTAGAAAGGCCTCCCAGTAGAGAGACATCAGAGGGAGAACCAGAGTCTTGAGACCTGGCCTGGGATTACACTCTGGCCACTCACGATTACTGTGCGGTGGCCATCAGGTGACTGAACCTCTCTGAGCCTCAGTTTCCATCTCTGCAGAACATGGTAAGTGGGTCAGGTAAGATTAGTGATGAAGGTGTCTGGCTCATAAGAAGTGTTCCAGAGGGGTCACCTGCTTCCATACTCCCCCTGCCTGAAACCACAAGCCAGAAGAGGGGGCTGAAGCTACTGCACAAGAGACCTGGCAAGAGCGTGGTTCAAAGCCAGTGACTCCAGCAAACAGGGTATTTACCTTGAGCATGTGCCCGCTGAGTCTCAGAATTCAGAGAAAAGGGGCAGTTTGGATTTTGGAGAGGAGAGGAGAGAGGGTATGGAGGTGGGGAAAGAGGAAGGGAGGAGGGGAGAGAAGGAAGAGAGGACAGGAGAAGATGATGGTGAGGTAAGGGGACTGAGCGAAGAAGAGGAGAGAGGGGAGAAGGAGGCCCATGTGAGGCTTCAGACAGCCCAAGACAGAGGCGACCTGGTTACCTCAACTGTTTGCAACCATTTCCTTGGAAAAGTGTTCAACAGGACTTTTCTCCGAAACTATTCCCAGAGGGAAAAGCTTGTCTTTTCTGTGTGGGCAAGTTGGAGGACTGGTTCTGTTTCTGAGCCTTTTGTATTTTCAATTGCTGACAAGATGCAGCCTATTATCTGTTTCCCACAGGGCTTTGGTGGGGAAGAAAGCCCTGGAGGGAGCCCCATTTAGATGCTGAAGTTCCAATGGCCCTCCTTTGCTTAGAGGTACCCACTGCGATAATCTCACCTGCAGCATGATCTGAGAGTTGTACCCTATGCCAGGCAAGGGGACAGCACCTCTTTCTCCCGAGGGTTGGACACCACTGACTTGAACCAGAGTCCAAAAGTGTCAGCGGCAACAATGACCATAGCTGGCCCCATGGCACCCTCACCCTGCACTCTTTGCAAGTGTGAAAACTCAGACCCACAGACAAGATGTGCTTAAGAGGCACAGGGAATCCGTGGAGGCCTATACCAGCCCTGACTCCCAGCCCAGAGTTCTGAGCACACCTCCTCCTTGACCCCTCCTGCTTCACAAACTTTCATGAGCTTGGGGCCATGTTCTCAAACAGTCCTGGAAAAGTAGATCCTTTCACTCCCAGTATTTAAAACATCACAGATTACCCACCTCAGAGCTGAATGTAGATGGTGGATTTCAAAGCCGCCTGCCGGGAGTGCTGCAGGATGTTTGGGATAGCTACAGCTTATTTATAGCTGCCAAGGGCTCCTCCCCCTGCCTGAAAAATTTTGTTCAGGAAAACCAAGCCTGACCTGAATGCCCGATGTGTTACCTCATGCAGATCATGGGAATCGCCAAGCCTTAATGTCCTCAAGCCTCAGACGCAGATGGCAATAGCTTCCTAGCTACGTGTGGTGGCTTACATCTGTGATTCCAACACTTTGGAAGTTGGAGGCGGAAGGATTGCTTGAGGCCAAACTGGCCAACATAGCAAGACCTCATCTCTACAAAAAAATGAAAAAAGTTAACCAGGTATGGTGGCAGTCAACTGTAGTCCCAGCTACTCAGCAGGCTGAGGCGGGAGGATCACTTGAGCCAAGAAGCTGGAGGTTGCCAGAGGCTACCGATAACACCATTTCACTCTAGCCCAGATGACAGAGTGAGACTGTCTTAAAAAACAAATGAACAGATAAAAACCACAAACAAACCACAACAGTTACCTGACAGAGGAGTTAAAAAAAAATTAAGTGATGTAATACTAAATTTTAGCTCTGCTGGGACACAGTTTGGCTGCCTGTTATAGATAGGGCTGTGTCCTTAGAGTACTTAATAAATATTGGTTGACTGTAAGGCACTAAGATGACCAATATGAATTTGGTCCAATTGTTCCTTAAATGATGACTTATGTTCTTTCAGTGTCTAAGTATTTTCAGAATTGAAGACATACTTTTAAGTTGCAAAGAATCCTGAAGAAATGATAACTGAAACAAGCCTGAATGCAATTCCAGTTGGAGGCAGTGGGTTGATACAGTGCCTCCACTTTGTTGGGATCCAGCTACTCTGCCTTGTCACTGCACCATCCCTAGGTGTTTGTTTGCCTGAACTCAGATGGCTAACTGCCATAGGGCCAGGGAATACCCTTTTCCTTCAAAAGGAATGACCTAAATGTTGCTGGTGTTATTCTTACTTATGTTCCACTGGCCAGAGGTTGGCCACATAATCATGCCTAGCTGCAAGGGAGGCTGTGCAATGCAATCCACATTGTACACTGTAGTCACATCCCAGCTAAAAATCTGGGGCTCTATTACCATGAGAGAGAAGAGAATGAATGCTGGAGATGACTAATCATCTTGCCTCGGCAAGTTACCTGAGTGTTCCCAAGTTTTCCAGCCTCAGGAGAGCCATTGTTTTCTTTCCTTTTTTGTTTTGTTTTTTATTTTCTTTTTTAAGAACCCAGGTCATCTGGTTCATCTGGGCTGGGGTGCAGCAGCAGTGTAATCATAGCTCACTGCAACCTCAAACTTTTGGCTTTAAGTGATCCTTCCAAGTAACTGAGATTGTAAGCATATGCCACCATACCCAGTTTCATCATTTTCTTTGAAAATGAACTGACTTTTAGTCCAATGTGGAGCAGATACTTCTCTACCCTGTGCAGGTACTACTGAGGGTGCTGGTAGGTCTGATATGTTCTGGGTACCACTTGTCACATGGATGCTGCCAGGTCACATGCACCCCACCTCTGGGCATCTCCCTCCCTCTTCTCTGGGCTCTTATAGTCTTCATTGGTTTCCTTCACCCCAGGACTGGTACAGGCCCTTCCTTTGCTTCTGCAAGAAGTACTAATACAAGGGAATTATGAACTCTAGGCCCTGATGGGCCACAGGGAATTATGACACAAAAAGCAAAGCTAATACCAGGTCACACTCTTCCAAATCCACTGCTCCTCCTCTTTGGAGAAGTTCTCTGTCCCAATCTCCCTAGTAGCTGCTAGGCTGCAGGATTGCTGGAGCAAGTCAGCAGTAGCTTGAGAATATGCTCTCAGCAGAATCCAGGGTACCTCCTCTATATTTCTAAGTCCCATGAAAAAGAAGCCAAAAGGAAATTAAGAGCATACCAGCATCTGAAGAGACGTTACTGTCCACAAGGAAGAGAACTGTTCCATCTTTGCTGCACCCAAAGTGTGGTTCAGAAATCACCAGCTTCAGCCATAGCATAGGGGAGCTGGCTAAAAATGCAAATTATTAGAACAGAGCCCAGGCCCCCTAATTCAGAATCTGCATACTCATAATATCCCCAATTGATTTGTATACTCCTGCAGGCCTGAGAAGCACTGCTATGCTAAATAGGCTAAGGAGGAGAGCAAATCTACCTCTGTGAGGTTTCTTCATTTGGATTTCTCCTCTGATTCCAGCTCTCAGGGCTGAGATTTGCCTGCTTAGGCATAAGGCTTCAAATTGAGCTCTCTCAGAACACATCAAGGGTGGAGTCCAGCTTCCTCACTGGAATAACAAAGTGCAGTGGATATTTATTTATTTATTTAGACAGAGTCTCAAGTCTTTGCCCTCGATAGAGTGCTGTGGCGTCACAGCTGACAGCAACCTCAAACTCTTTGGCTTAAGTGATTCTCTTGCCTCAGCCTCCCAAGTAGCTGGGACTACAGGTGCTCGCCACAACGCTCAGCTATTTTTTGTTGTTGTTGTTGCCATTGTTGTTTTAGCTGACCCAGGCCAGGTTTGAACCTGCCAACCTTGGTGTTTGTGGCCAGTGCCCTACCCATTGAGCTGCGGGACCACCCTGCAGTGGATTGTTTATTTATTTATTCTTGAGACAGAGCCTCAAGCTGTCCCCCTGGGTAGAGTGCTGTGGCATCACACAGCTCACAGCAACCTCCAACTCCTGGGCTCAAGTGAGTCTCCTGCCTCTGCCTCCCAAGTAGCTGGGACTACAGGCGCCTGCCACAATGTCTGGCTATTTTTTGGTTGCAGCCATCATTGTCATTTGGCAGGCTGGGGCTGGATTCGAACCCACCAGCTCAAGTGTATGTGGCTGGCACTTTAGCCACTTGAGCCACAGGCACTGAGCCATGTAGTGGATTTTTAAATAGAATTATTTTTATCCTTCCTACACATGAACTTTATAGGTTGCCAAGTGCTTTCCTATACATCACCATTCATTTCTTCCTTTATAGCACAAACATTTACAGAGGCGTGACCCTGTGCACTGAGCAGCCAGCAGCGAACCAAACAAACAACGGCCCTGCTCTTGGGGTGGCA